AGACCATCAAACCTCCAAAGGGTATAAGGGCACTTGTATGGGGTCAGGATATAGCCTCCCAGAGACCCACCCAAGCTGAGGGTTCCATACAAAGGGAATGGGAATTTTTCTGTGTAAATCCTTCAGGAAGAAGACACTGGAACCCCATCACTTCTCATTAGGGCTTGGGCCTCAGTGTGTGTGGGGGGAGGGCAGCAAGCATGAATATCACCACTGTCACCAACCCAGCCATTTTTGTATGGCTGTCAACCCAGGTAGACACTGTTCAAAAGAACAGGAGACACCTATCCCATGGCCAGGCACAAGCTTCTCCGGCCATTCAACCAACATAATCCCAATCCCCCTTCCTACCTCCTCTTCTGCAAGGCCAATTATTGACTCTCAACCCCCAACCCCCATTTAAAATGTTTTCCAAGGGCTGGAGGTACACCTCAAGTTGTAGAGCACCTGCCTAGCAAGCATAAGGCCCCGAGTTCAAACATCATTACCACAAAAAAAAAAAAAAAATTCCACTGACTACTCCCAGCTCAGAATGCATGCCAGCCACATGCTTCTGATTTAAGGTCCCATCACATCTCTACTCAGAATCTGATCTTCTCCAGACCCCAGCCAGGGGGCTGAATACTGAGGCTGGCCAGGGAGTGGGGAGAGCAGGACTTCAGAACTGGGGTGGGAGTCCTATATTTACAGAGGCCTCTGGGACTTTGCAGGCCCAGAGACCTGGCTCAGCTACCCTCAGAGAATGGGAGAGGTCCTTCTGTTGTCTTCTGAGGAGCCCTAGGCTGTCCTCAGCTAAGGATATGCCCAGGAAAGGAAGCTCGAGAAGTTTCTGTTCCACTGGATGACTGACCAAAGGGAGCACAAGACACTTTGGGAGAACATTCAGAAATTTACTGGCTATAGACAAGGTGGTGGTGAAGGAACCACCCTAAACAGAGTAAACACAGAAGTTACCGTACAGAAAGGAACACACAGAACACATATACTGACTCCCACCCTATCCTCTATCCCCATAAACACAACACTGAGTGACAATGTCAGGAAAGCACAGGCGAAAGAAGACACTCAACTAAATAAAGCAAAGCATATCTCCCACCACATTTCTAACACGAATTACTGATCAAGTGAGAAAAGGCTATGCTTTGCCCCTTTCCCTTTTTTACAGCACATATGGTATTTGAAATCTCTGACAAGAAAGCATCCTATAGATGGCAACAGCTGAGGTTAAACCAGGGTCCACAATTATCCCATTCAGTATGCCTACCTGGGTCTTCAAAACTGAATTCTAGTTACTGTCCTCTCAAGTGACTCAGACCTCACTGTCATTTCCACTGCTCCAGAAGAGCAAGAAGTGCAACAAATCAGGATAATCCAACTTAGCTGGAGGTTCTAGCAGCCTGGGCCAGACCCCACGACCTCTAGGCAGTAAGTGACAGCAGAGGCAAACTTAAGAGGATAGCTAGATAAAATGGATATACTTACACCAAGAATTTCTTGTTTATTTGAACTTCAAAGTTAACTATGTGTCCTTTATTGCCTAAATCTGGCCTGAATGAGGGGCCATGCAAATCTGGGTGCCGCCTAGGAGCCTGGGCAGGTCTGCTGGCACCCAAGGGCTATAGCACATCTGTCTCTGAGGCCAGATGCCCCTCTAGGATCATTAGTGATCCCCACTTCCTACTCAAACAGAAGCCCATGTCTAAGGCAAACTTTTTCTTTTGGTGGTACTGGGGTTTGAACTCAAAGTCCTGAGTTTGCTAGGCAAGTGCTCTACCACTTGAGTCATGCCCCAGCTCTTTTCACTTTAGTTATTTTTTGGATAAGGTTTTGAGTTTTTGCCCAGAGCTGGCCTTGGATTACCATCCTTCTACCTATGTTTCTTGAGTAGCTGGAATTACAGATGTGTTCCACCATGCCCTAAGGCAAACACTTTCACCCTCCTCCTCCCTAAGAAATACATGTTCAAGGGCAAAGCAGAGTGTATAGAGCATGCCAGTGCAATGCTGGGTTTCTGCCAGCACTACTCCTCTCTTCTAGCTAAAGATCTGGCTTTTATTATTAACAGTAAATCAAATTTCCATTCCTTCCTCTTCTATATTTTCCTGTTGCTTATGCAGCTCAGAAAGTTTACATCTTTGAAGGATCAGCCCTGACTTTCATCTGACCCTGGGATATACTCCTCTCCTTGGCCTTTCAGACTGGATGCCTGTTAAGGGCCCCAAAGAAGCTGAAACACAATTTGAATCCAGGTACCTGGAGCTGGTTTGAAGACTGTGGAAGGGTGTGATTGCTCTTGGAGGACAAAGCATGTGCTCACTCAAACATCTTCAAAGCAAGGAGGGTATGCAAGAGAAGTGTGTTTTGAAAAGCAAAGTTAGGACAAAAAACCTTCGTCCTTTCCAGGTTAATGCCAGAGCCAAGAGTATTTCCACTCAGGTGATCTTGGTAAAAAGAAAAGTAGAAGCACCCACTTTCTTAGACTTAAGAACAACTCTGCAATGAGGACAGGGCTTGATTTACCTTGGACACCTCCAGCACAGGTAAGGCTTTGTACATGTCTGCTGAACTTAACTCTGGCTGACACATATGCACATGTGGCTACTTAGCCAGTCACAATCTACATGCAAAATACAGCAAGGAGAAGGAGAGATCATTTGAAATTTCTTTTCTGAACATTCTAGCTAATAGTTTTAAGCTTTCTTCCACTGCTCTTCTCAGTTAGAATCAAGTGGCAAGAAGATTTACTTTCCTCCTGTCCCTTCTCTGTGAGAAACACTAATACACACAGAGCATATGAAACTGTCAGAAGACGGGCTGGAGATGGGGCAACTTCTAAAATCAGTCTGGAAGAATTAGGAATACTGAGTAGTTAGGACCCTGAAAACAGTCTCATTTTCCTCCAGAATTCTAGACCATTCCATTTTCATAAATTGTTGACTATTTCCTGATATTCCTGAAATGCAGGTGCAAAAGGCCTATTGTATTGATGTAAAATGCACAGTCCCACAAATACCTAACAATCTAGACAAAGGTTCTAATTGCCCAATGGAAAACCTAGCCAGTGGTGCTCCAGTCTAGAGAGGCAGGATGCTGGCTCATGTAATTGCTGAATTAGTCTTAAAGGCTTGGGCCAGGAATATTTACTCAACCAGAACAGGCACAGATCAAAGTCCAAAGGGAGAACAGACTGCAGCTTTGTTTTTTAAATCAACAAATGCTGGACACTGTGGAAGGGCCCATAATTCTTTGCTTAAAGAACCCTAAACCCTACAACTTAAAATGAGGCATCAAAAGAATAACCAAGGCTGCCAAACTGCCAGTAAGACTCTAATTAAATTGTAAGCATAGGAGTGATACAACCAAAGGTCTAGTACTGGTTCCCCTTCACTTTTCCCTTTGAGATTGGGCAGCAAGTTTATTTTTTAAAAAGATTAAAGATGCAGAACAGGTGACATCAAATCTCCTGTGCAATTCTCCTACCTGACACAGGGAAAGACAAATCCACAATGAACTCTCATGGGCTGATACAGAAGAGGTGAGACAGGGAGCAAGTATATATTTAAGTAACTTGGGTGGTCTCTCTTTTATGGCACTGTTATGTTTCTATCTGGAAGTAAGTCAATGTTAAGAAAACAAGACATGCAGTTATCCTCTATGAAAAGCCTAGAGCACTCTTGTGAAAGGACAGTGAAACAAACCAGAGCATACAAGCAGGGCACAATGTGTTCAATCAGGTCCCCTACAGGGCTCATCTTTCCAGATTTTGCAGTAAAGCTTAACTGAAGGTAGCACTCCAGGATGCCAAGATGAGACCAGAGGAGGAAGGCAAAACACAGCCCTGCTGATCAGGCTACACCCTTGATACAATATGGAATCCAACAGATGAGTAGCAGATGATCCCCTTCTCTACAGATTAGCTCTTTACCAAAAGGAGAGGTAACAACCATTTGAACAACTGCAGGGTAGCGAGGGTGACCATATCCTGTGACGAGAGATGTCCCCCTAGAAACAAAAGCACCTTTGGAGACCCTTTGGGAAAGAATGAACCTGAAGACTGGCTCGTCAACCTGGCAGAGCAGACCCTGCTCACGGCCCCCCACCCCAGCTGGCCCATTGAGGAATGAACCCCTGCCCTCATTTCCTCTCCAGTTTAGTTCAGGGCTTTGGGACTAATGGTAGGAGAAATTGAGCCAATGATGATGACAGCTATTGTTCAGGAACCAATTACGCACAGAGTGGATGCCGTAGTGGTGTCTGTATTCTGTGTATCAGACATACAGAATGTGCCCATGAGCTTGCCTGGCCAGTCATCTTCATCAGAGCAGAAAAGGGAAAGGGACAATCCAAAGCAGACGAACTGACTGCCACAGAAGGAACAGAGGGGCTTAAAAGTCCTTAATAAGAGTGAACAAGCCCGATCTGTCAGCTCTCGGAGGAGCAGATCCAGGAGTGAAGCAGCAAAGCTTACCTGTCCTCAAGCTTGAGTGGGGCATCTGCCCCTTATTTCTTACAGTGTTTCTAGGCCTGGCTTTGACCTCCAGTAGGATTTCAACAGAACAGCAAACTAATTAGTCCTGAAATCAGAGTAGGTGATTTAAGGGATGGTCTTGGACACCCTGAATACCACAAGCACACCAGAGAAGCAAGAGGATATGCAGTACTTAATAATTCACACAAATCCTAAATCACCAAAGGCTGAGGCTGGCTTTCACACTCAAAGAGAAAAGTGAAAATAAGCTGTGACTCTGTTATATGGACTATTTTATCTTAATAAAAGTAACTCCCAAAGGCTTGGTTTCCTTGTGGGTATTTTTTTTTTTTTTAAATGATTCAAGGTCAGCTGAACCAAATTATAGATACCTACATTTTCTGGCCCCAAAACTAGTGATGGTATTTCCTCCCAATACACAAAAATTTAACAAAACTTTAAAGGAAAAGAAAAGAAAAAAGAAAAGAATGTTGAAAAGAAATACAAATCAAAAAAATTTATTATTATTGACAAAAATACATAATATAAAAACAAAACACAACACAACAGAAACAAAACCAGAAACCCCACCCAGTGGCCCCTGTGCCTAATGTACTGACAATGTGCAGTCCCAGATGCCCCCAAAATATGGCACTTAATTCATGAGGACCTCCATCTGCACCAGCCTTGCATTGGTGTCCCCAGACGTCCGGTAGGGTATCATTCCAGCAAAGGTAATCAAGGCTCTGGCTTGACTTCGGAGTTGCTGAGAGAGGGAGCAAGAGAAGAAAACCAGTTAACTTTCAAGTCAGGGCAATACACTGAGAACCCCATCTATGTTTTTCCACTCTCTACCGTGGTGTCAGGGACAAATCCTGGTACACAGATAATAGTTATTACCTCTGCTGTCATATTCCTACAGTATGGTGCAAAGTTAGCAAAGCTTGTCCACTGGGTCCCCAGTTCCACAGGACATCTAAACCTTTCTATTAAGCAAAAGGCTGATGGTCTGTCAGGCAAGCTGTCTCACCACAACACTTGACTAGTTTCTGATACAGCATGAGCTTCAGAAGTGCCTGCTCCAGTTTTCTAAGCCTCACTTCTAGCTGGTTTCTGTTCACCTGCCTCAATGGGGATCTGAGTTTCTGGAGCCCCATGAAACACCTACAATGCCAGAGGCAAGGGCTATGTGCAGTCCTGATCACCCTCTTCCTATCCTGTCTCCATTTTCCCTCCTCTTCTCCCTCCATAATATATGTGCTTGGCCCTCTCTTCCCAGGCAACAGATGTATCTAATTTCTAGATTATTCCTGGAGAGAAAAAAAAGATGACCATGTGTTTCCAGTAATAACAAAAAAGACAACCTTTACTCCAATTTCCAAGTGATAAATTATTAAATACAGAGTAAAGAAACTTAGGAGAATGGCTTCAGATAACTGCTGCAAAAGAAAGATTTTGGGTTCTGGGGCCTCAGGTTGTTCCATACTAAAGTATGCTGGATGCTTATACCAGCAAGAAAGGAAACCATACAGGCAGAGAAAGTCCACACCTTTCTGCACCAGTAACAAAACTTTCAGGGAAAACTCAAAGATTATTTACTAGGCTTACTTAAGGACTGGCCCAAAAAACTGAAAAGCAAATGCTTTTTTATCTGTTGTGTAAATAAGTTAGCAAGTATATGTCCTTATTCATGTTCTACAGAAAGAAATCTTACTTTGTGATGAGAATACTCATTGTATTTCTTTTAAAGGTGAATTAATGTACATAAGCTTTCATGCCTGATTTAGTTACTTTAAATGAGCTCTAGGGATGTTTAGGCAAAAGGCTCCCACTGGCAGTTTACTTTTGACCAGGAAACCACTTCTTGCACAGTTAACAGCGATATATAAGCTTCTCCTCAATTCTACCCATCCCTACCTTTCTGGGGGAAAAAAAAAAACAAAAAACGGAGAACTGTAGACAGAAGGAAGACAGAAGAATGGCTTTATTCATGGTATGTGAATAAATAATAATAATAATAATAATAATTTGCTGTTCTGGGGGTCAAATTCAGGGCCTCACTCATGCTAGGCACATGCTTTCATTGCTCAGCTCCACTCCCACCTGGTATATGAAAGCTAAGTGCCTAAAAAGAGAGACTGAACCCCACACATAAGGTGCTTTCAAGATGAGGGCAATGGCCTGCCAGAACTGACCTGTAAGGAGCACACAAAGGACCAGGACATGCTCCATCTCAGGATTCACTCTCAAAACATCACTGCACTGACTCCTGCTAAGGGGCAAGCACAGTGGGCCTACCTTTGGTAGGCTCTTGTCTGCTCAAGGGCAGGCACAGACCAGCCCATGCCTTGGTACCCACAGGGACCAGCTGACCACTCCAGTGGTTCACTCCTGAGCACTGTTACCCATTATCCTGAAGGTGAGCATTTCTGCCACCATTCACTAACAGAACTTCTGTAACTGACAGTGCCTATCGGGGCACCGTGGAGAGAGGTTAAGACATCCTTGGAGGCAGGACTGTTAGGGCTTCTTGACTGCCAAAATTAGGGTTGGTTGTTAGACACTGTCCTGGTAGTCAAAAATTAAGAGGGACAGGATGTGGGGTTCATACCTGTAATCCCAGCACTTGAAAGGTTGAGATAGGAGGATAAGAGAGTTTGAGGCCAGTCTGACTACATATTGAGACCTGGCCTTAAAAAAACAAGGGCTGGGGATGGAGCTCAGTAGCAGAGTACCTGCTTAGCATGAGCAAGGCCCTGGGCTCCATCCCCAGCACTGCAAAAACAAAAGAATAAAAGGAAAAAAAATTAGTGTAAAAGTTAAGAGAAAGGCAATTTAAAAAGAAACTACCTGCCTCATGGTTTAAATAGGTCAAACAAACACCTCTGTTCTTTTGACAGATCAACTGGACATTTTCTGGGGGGGGGGGGCTCAGGGTCCTAATATTCCAGGACTCTGCTTGGCTCAGGCACTGATAGAAGCTCGTCAGTCTCAGACTCAGCTTTCAGACACTGTCTCTGCACCTGTCTACCACTTGGTGGGCCAACAGGGCAAGTAAGTTGCTTCCCAATTCTGGGCTTCAGGTTCTTCAGCTGTTAAGATGGGGATAATACCACTCTCTTAGTCACCTCCCTAGGGTCACTGTGAGGCTCAGAAGAGAGAAACAAGTATTTCCGTCAAATTAATGTGCTGATCAAAAATAAAGTATGGTTTTGATGAAAGTGTTCACTGATAAGTTGGAACTCACAGGGTAACCTATATTTTAAAATGAGCAGAAAATTCTTATGAACCATCTACCAATGGTTTGGTTTTAAAAATCTGTTTGATTTTTAAAAGGTGACATTTGCAGACTTAGCACATCTTTTTCTTTTTTTAGCTTGAAAAAAGCTGCAATCTGATTTGTTTGATTTCCTCAGGAAGCTTCCTGGTATAAGAATTACCCAGGTGCCAGCTCCTAAGGGAAAACAGCAGTTTAGGGTCATGCAGTCTCGTAAGAGGGCAATGGATTCCAAACCAGAAAGGTGTTTCTCATGAACGCTGGGATCTTACAGAGTCGCGGTCCTCGATGACTCGCTGGGGTCTGGATACAGAGGATGGACTTGTCCCCTTAAGCCTCTTAAACTGTGTGAATAAGATGTTCATGGTGGCGAGAAGCACTTCTGAGAGGTTATGCCTAATCTACACAGAGAGAAACACACAGAGTAAGGAAAGGAGTCCTCGGGCCACCAATTGCCTGGTCACACCACATCCCACAGCTGTCAATGGAGAGCTGCACAGTCACCAAAAAGGGGCTGATGGCACTTTAATGTCAAGTGTGATCATGACCTTGCTGCTCAGAAGATCAGTTGGTCACTTTCACTGCTCTCTTCTTCATGTTCCTCTTAGCAGCTGTGGCAAGCCAAAAAAGGATGCTGACAACATCTGGTAAATATGTAGCTTGGGCTGGCTAGCAGAGTGATGACCAACAAGCATCTGGACTTGAGTATCAGTAGGTAATGGTGCATACCAGTCCTCCACACTCCCCACCAGTCCCCACTGCCTCAGACCCACTTAACTGTTTCCACTGGCCTGCAAGGCCCCAGAGTCCTTGGGAAGGACTATGGGGCAGACCCTGGTATACTACACATTAGCCCATGCTGCAATGATGTGTATAGGGGAAGGTAAAAATAACAAAGGAACAAGTAGCTAAGGGTAGAATGCACAGTGAGTGTGAAGGGAAGGTTGGCATGGGGTAAGACTTCTGGACTACATCTCCCACAGCAGCCACACCCTCCTCAGGTGCAGAAACTGACCTTCTTTCTCTAAAACAGAATGTGTTTTCATAAAAGGCATTTGCTTAGGCATTAGGAACTGTTCTAAATCGAAATGCCATCAATGACATCCCAGAGCCAAGCAGCTGGCTCTAAAGTCTATTATCCGTGCTATATAGAAAAGTCTTACCTGGCTGCATCTGGGAATGACTAAGGGAGGTACAGGCCACAGCCCCTAACAAGAAAAGCAGAATCTTGGGGGGCAGGGCCTGGACACAAAAAATTTTTTAAAGCTCTTCTAGCAAATCTAGTGTGCAGCCCAGTTGAGCATCCCTGGACTAGATGGTAGCAAAATGCTTGGAGCTTTGCCAAGAGACAGCGGCTCTGGAGCACATGGGTGATATATTAGTCCAGGGTCACAGCACTTGCACTTTGGATAAAACTCAGGGAAAAGAAGGATGGCAGTAAATCATAGGCATGCTTTATGCATGGACATATTAAAGAAGATCAGTTAAACATTAAAACACAGTGACAATAAAAGAAACCTCACAGGAAAGCCAAAATAGCTGAAATTGGACCCATCCTGGAAAACTGACTCTGGATGGTTACCATAGCTGGAACTCTTAAAGTTATTAGTTATGTTCAAACAAAAGCATTCAATTCTGAATGTGGAGAAAACAGAATTTCGTAACGAGGAAGAAAAGGACTCACTTCATCACTGAAGTTTCTGAAGGCAGCCACTCTTTCTTCTACACTTTCCTGATTCAGAGGCACCAGCTTTAAGCGATCAATTATCTGTTGAAAACAAAAAAACCCACCAGCAGCCCCATATGACACAGCATCATAGTCATTTCATCTCCCTAAAGATAACAGTCCACATATAATATGGTTCAAAAAGCTCCCTCTCACCTTTTTTCCCTAGCCTTGGGTCTTGTTGTGTATGCTAGTCAAGTACTCTACCACTGAGCTACACCTTAACCCTTGGGTTTTTGAGACAGGGTCTCCCTATGTAGCCCAGGATGGCTTCGAACTCTCAATCCTCCTGCCTCAGCCCCTCCAAGTGCTGGGATTACAGGTATGTATCACCATACCAGGCTAAAAGGGCTCCTTAATAAAGAAATGTTATTCCCTGCTTTGTACACACAAAAGCTTTGATTCTAACTTACTGCCTAACTTGATCCTTATCTTCATTTTGTGGCACAATTTTAAAATTCAGAGATCTCAAATTATTTTGAGAAACCTCTGTTTCCAGATTAAAGGGGAAAGGAATAGAAAAAAAGAAAAGGAAAAAAAAAAGCAACATAGAAATTCTCAGGATCAAACTTGTCTTCTTCACTTAACAGGTGGACTGGTGACATTTCTTTTGTTTTAAACGAATCCCATGAAGTGTTCTGAATCTTCAAGGGCATACATTAACTTGCACTTCAAATATCCCTCCTGAAACTTACATCAAAGGCTCTGTCAATATGGCCACTATGATACTCGTCAAAAAAGGTGATCAAGTCCAAGAGAAGATAGAACGTAGAGTCCACAAATTTATTCGCACTGATTCCCTGAGCTCTGTACCTGAAAGACAAAAATGGGAGTGGGTGAGAGGGGAGCAAAGGTCAATGAAATTCTGTGTAATCCGTAACTGGATGATACCAGTTACAACGCATCAAAATCTCTTGAGCTCTCTGGATGAGGGGAATTAAGGAGTAGAAAATAGTATTTATTCTGAAATGACAAAGTATTGACAGTGGATTTGGTATAACTTCACCTATATGTACTTTGTATGAAGCACTGTTTTCTAGCCTTGACCACCATCTTGGCAGTCAAATCTCCAGTAAGGTCCTCATGGGCAAAAAGCTCAAGGACTAATGTGAGGGACTGTTTGCTAAATGGAGATATGTCATTTGCCTAAGAATGTTCTTTTGAGTTACCCCAGAAGAATATCCTAAACCCAGTATTCTCTGGACCATTTAATTGGGGGTATCTATAAAGGGTGCAAAACATTAACATCCTTTGCCTGAGTTTGGGAGTTAAATGGAGTAAGGCTAAATAACTGAGTGAACTCATTGAGAGGAAAGCATATTCTGTAACACTGGCTGTGACACCCATTCATCTATCACTGTGTTCCTAAATGCCTGGGGTAGATGAGTTAGTAGAATCACTTTAAAAACCACTTGCTATTACCAATAAAGCCAAATATGCACTGGAGTGTGCACAGTGGCTTGGTACTGGCACCAGCACTTCAGGGCTCCACTGAGCCAGCTCCAGGCCTTACCGTTCGGCAATGGAGAGTGCCATGTTCTTCAGTCTCTCCTTATTGGACTGAGGGGCACTGATCTGTGGGACAACAGGGCTCAGCAGTTTGTTCATCAGCTCCAATACCTTGTCAGCATTCTGTTCAAGTTTTTGAAATTAAGGAAATAGTCAACAACTGGAAAAATTAATAACCAAAACAAAAGAGGGTACTTTCTGGGGTGATAGATGGAAGTATTCTGTATCTTGATGTGGGTGGTTATACATACATACCTACAGAAAATTCATCCACTGTATACTTACTATGTGTACAATTTTCTAAATCCTAATTATACCTCAAAGTATTTTTTAAATTTAAGAAAACATGAAGTATAGCCTTTTTGTATACTTTCTCTAATAAAAGGAGGAATATAATATTTTCTAGCTCATCTAAATCATCAGTCACCCTATGTTCTTAGGTAGAAATAGTTATTCAGGTTGTAAACAGGCACCAGCTGTGGCATCATTCTCTGACACACACTATGCTCCAGTGTGTGGGGTGGGGGGGAGGGGTCAGAGGGCTTCTCACCAGCAGCTTCACCATCAAAATGTGATGGATGCTTATTCTGCTACCGAGTGAGAGGACAGTATAAGGCCCGTGGGATAATGTTGCTCGTTTGGTCAGATATACCTTATGGGCAGAAATAATTCTGTAAAATGGGAACGTAGCCCTGACTATACCAAAAACTGCCTAAGTGCTAGGAGAAAATGCTTCAGCCGGGAGAGTGCTTCAACAACGGCAATGTCAGAATGTTTGTGCACTTAATGCCAAAAGCCTGACAGATCTATTAAGTGCAAAAGAAGGAAAGGGGCACATTTTACCTTGGCAAGGTCATAAAGCTTTGCTGCATCTTCGAACAGTCCTTTATTTTCTGCCACGGAAGCAACTTTGTTGATAATAGGCTTTGTGTCACTAGTAAACTTATCTATGACTCCAGGCTGACAAGACAAAGTATGGAGGGGTAAAAAGAGAGAGACAGAACTATTATTTTAAACAAACAGAAGCAACTAGGATACAAAAAATACTTTAACTGAAAATGCTTGCTCTGAGCAATGACTAGATTCTGGCTTTCTTATAGATGTAAGGTCCTATTAAAACTATGGAAAGAGATGGAGAAAACAACACATGAAGGGGCAGACTCAGTGGAAACACAGGAGTCAACAATAAGACAATTCTGTTTTCCATTTTCCCAAAATGACCCAGAGAGTAACTGAAATTATCAGTGATTTAAAATTTGCTGAGGAGTAGAAACTAGGTAGAAAAGTCATGAGGTTTAGAGAAAATATTTCAAAGGTTTTGGATTTGCTTTCTAAGACAGATGGTAAAAGAAATCCAGTGCTGAAAAAACACATGGCAAATGGTATAAGGACATTTTAAGAGAAATCATCATCACCACTCAACGACAAGCAAATGGTCAGGAGAGTATGAGTGAGCCCTCAGGAACTGGGGAAGAGTGAAAATGGCCACTCCGATTCTCCTTCAGCTGAACTTGCAGGACTGGCCCATGCTGGGGTGACCTACCCTGCTACTTTCGAGGCACTAGATCAGCAAAAATCATGGGTTTGTAGGTCAGAAGGACTGGTTCAAATTTCAGCTGTGTGATCTTGAGGAAAATAGCCTCTCTTACCTCCATTTCCTCATTTGGAAAACATAGATAATTACAGTTCCCACCTTCTTGGGTGATTGTGGTGACTAAATAAGAATCTACATGCAAAGTGCTGAGCACAGTGCCTGGCAACGGCAGTCCCACTAAGCAAACACCATCAGAAGCAGCACCATCAGGGTTCTCTTGTGACCTCAATGGGGTGAGCTCATCTTGAGATGGCTGGCTCAAGCCACACATTTTTACAAAGAAGGAAAGTAAGTCCCTGAGGGGCAAGTGACTTTCTCAAGGCTTCAGGGAGAGGCAGGGTCAAGAATGGTCTCTGATAATAGGGCCTCTGCCCTTCTGCTATGATACCCAATGGGTACAATAAGTTGCAGAGGAACTGCTAAGGCTCCCAAGAGCAGCTGCATATTCTGGGTCAGTGTGGGGTTCTGAGCTCTCAGAAATTGCCTTTTGATGGAGGTTAAGTGCACTTGTAACTTTTCCATCTGGGCAGAGCAGGTGCAGTAATCAATTTATTTTTCCTCATGTTTTCTGAGCTCCCCCCCACCCCACCGCCCCCAAAAGAGCAGAAATGTAGCCTCCTCCTCAACTCAAAAAAATGGCAAGTATGAATAGATGAGAATTCTGAACATAATAAGATAAATCTATCTAATCAAAAACGTAACAAATTTTAAGGAACCATAAATTACAGGGCATCATTTGTGCCTATAATTTTCATTCCTTCTCTCCCTGAGACAGGGTCTTGTTATGCAGCCCAGGTGGGCCTAGAATTTGCAAGATCCTCCTGCCTCAGTCTTCTGAGTGCTGGGATTACAGAGGTACACCACTACAATTGGCTTGTTCTGTTTTTTAAACTAAGCAACTCCATCCAGTTTTGCATCATTAGTGCTTCAAATCCTAAAATGTAATGATATTCTTTTTAACAGTTATAAATTCCTAACTAAAAAACTAAGACTTTTATTCTTTCTCTTGTGGTGCTAGGGATCAAACTAACATTTCTTTAAGAGTATATTTAACCCACCTTTCTACTTCCATCATTTTCTAGTTTCCCAAGAATCATATCAAACTGTGAAGGAAAAAAAAAGTTTACTCAGTTTACAGAATGAGGATATCAACATGATATACAATTCTTCAAAGACAAAAGGCGGAAAGAAAATGGGGCAGAAAAGAGAAGTCTAACACAAACTAGGAAAAAGTAAGTTTGAAATCAGTATTTTCACTGTTAAAAATCATAGAAAACTCCATTCCCCTGTTCCAACCATGTTCACCATGACCACACTGAAAGAAGCATGCACGTCACATCAGTGTAAGAACACGTATTGAAAACTAAAGCAGGGGACAGGAAACCAACCTACCTCTCGACTTTCTATTACAAGCTCACTCACACAGCGCAAAACATGTTTTCTCCTTGGCTGTCTTTCTCATCCCTGTGAAAGGACGAGAGCAATTCGGTTTCTCCTCTGGACTCAAGGTGTCTAACAGTTACTGCAAACTACCTGAGTGAAGTGTGAAAAGCACACTTTACCTGAGGAAGTGAAAGTACTGGAGGGCCTCTCTTGGGTCCGTGGACTCAAATTTCCGTGTGTACAGCATGAGTAGCCGCACAAAATTCAGCCGTCGCATGCAGGGAGGGTCACCAGGCTCATGGCTGACTGCATACGGGAACAGAAAGGGTCACAATCACACAGCCCTCTGACCTGTGCAACCCAAGACTGTAGACGGTGAGCCCAAAGGACCAGCAGCAACTCTTCTGACAGTCCAGCCTATGAGTCCCATCCAAGCTCTGATCAGTCCTCTTACCCCCCTGGTTTGCTATTCTTTCCATGGACAAAGTAAAAGAGCCCTTGTAGTAAATGTAGTATGCTGGTCTTTCAGTGAAAAGATTATATAAGTAACAATTATGGCTGGTGCTTTGGGGTGATTTTGCTGACCTACTAAGGAACCCACAGCTATTCATCCACATTTTCTTGGCTCCCCCACCCATGCAGGTAGCACATAAAACAGCTGGTTGAGGTTTCCAAAGTCATTAAAGCCAGAGCCCTAAAGGGAACCAGATTCATAACTCTCAGGACTGCTTTGTCTGGCCACAGTAGCACTTTGTACAGCACTTTGTCTCTTAAGGGAATACTAATGGAGGGAAAAAAGCAAGGCCCTTAAAATGCTAATCATCCAAAAAGCTCAAATGTCTACAATCCTCTAAAATGATTGGCACCATCTGCCAGATCCTTTGGGGTTGAGATTCTGCGGTCACTGTCACCAATGGGGAGATGTGCTATGGTCACCTCACTGCAACCAAGGCATGAATACTCACGGAGCTGAGCACTTTGTCCCGAGGATTTTAAGAGCAGCTTTAGCTCGAACAGCACCAGAGCCACATGGACAGCATGGCAGCGCAGTCGCTCCATGCGGAAGAGAAAGGCAATGGCAGCCTCAAACTGTGCAGTTAGGAACAGCACTTGGAAGTAGAGGAAGGGCTGCTGGTTCACTGTAAAATGGGACTCACCTGGAGGAGAGGATGAATAAAACCCAATCAGAAGGAAGCTGCCAATGGTAGTATGACCCCACGTAGTAGCCCAGTGTCTACTGGCCTTGCTGGGTGGGAAAAAAAGCACCAGCATCAGCTAGAATTAATGGAGGGGTGCTGGATGCAGCGAACTGCCATGTGAAATGTGACTTGGCTCCTCCACCTTCTCTAACCTAAGAAGAGGACTTTGGCAGGCAGGGATAGTGTTGTAAAACTAAACTGTCTGCATTAGATAGGAAAGAAACAGTTAAGGATCTTAAGACAAACCAAAAAGTGATGGTTTATCTCCAATGCTCTGGTAAAAGTTACTCAATATTCACAGAAATCTGGACTCAACAACTACTGAACACTAACTGGAATGATCCTTTTCTCTCCAGAACTGTTAAACAAATATAAGAAGAAAAGATAATTCTCCTCTTTTGCGCTCAGATGTGGTCATACGCAAGAGCTACTAGAAAGCAATAGCTAAGTCCATTGTATGCCCCTCCATGAGCAAATGCTTACCAGAGCAGTTTGGAGAATTAGAAAAAAGTTTACTATTTATAACCATAAGTCATTTACATTTCTTTAGGCACATGCCCTCTTCTTGATTTGACATGGTTAAAATTTAACAAAGCTCATGGATGAAGGACTTTCCCAGAGGAAAACCATGTGGCTGCTTTAAGTGGACAGGAGGAGAGAAGGTGATTGTCGAGGATCTTACCATAGTCTTCCAGCAGCTGTTTCTGGAACTGTGCAAGGGTGAGCCTGTCTTGTGGGGAGTTGGTGCCATCATCATCAAAACACACTTGGTTCAACTAAATCCCCAAAAGAAACACATGCATGAGTGCAAACATCATCCTGAGCCATTGAGCTGAAGCTGCCCAGCAGCCATGCTCAATGCTGTGAGCTGGAGGCTATGTGAACAAGGCAATGGTTACTGGGCTTGGGGGCATGGCTCAGTGGTAGAATGCTTGTCTAGCATGCACAAGGCCTTGGATTCCATCCCCAGCACTGCAAATAAAGAAGACTGTGGTTATTAGCTGGAATTACAAAACAAAAAATGGGGCCAATAGACAAGAAATCCACTGGCCCTGGCACTGATCATCCTACTACCTTTTATACATGAAGCAGGTAAAATCTGTGCGGAGAACCTGAGCAAAAGGAAGGGTAAAGCCCTACTCAGCAAGGGAAACCATGCTTACCTTCAGCCACAGGTAGTCCTCAGTTTTGTCTGCCACTTCACTCTGGTTGTCAGTGATATCACATCTGCCAATGATACAGTACACAGCCCGCTTGTAGGGGTCTGTGTTGTTCCGGAGGGCTCTGCGGTAGTGAAGCCTGAGCTTGTTTTCAGTAGCTGGGGATAATCTAAAGACATAAGAGAACAGACAGATACACAACACTCAGTAAAGATGATCAAGGGTAAGTGAAAGCACCTGCCTAACAGTCAGGAAACTTCCTTCAGCTGGGAATACACCATCTGCCTACACTGCCACTTTACCTCACTTGCAACTAACAGCACTTGTGTCCCTTTGCCTGTTAGCTCTTTCTAACCCTCAGAACTCCTCAGGCAGGCCAGAAATGCCGGGGACTAGTATTTCACTCCACCTCAGCAGCCCTCAAGCAGTGAGGCACAGGAGTGAGTCCTTCTCTTAATTTTCTTGCCCTTATTCATGTGGAGTCACTTTCCAAATAAGCTCCCTTCATTCAAACCTTTGCCTCAGGGTCTGGGGTGTAGATGCTGCGATATTAACCCCACTTTATTTATTTATGTGGTGTTGGGGATTGAACTTTGGGCCTCATACTCTATGCAATCACTCTTATTATTAAGCTACACCCCCAGCCCTACTTTATAATGAGTAACGGGCATAATTGCTCACACCTGTAATCCTAGCTACTTGGGAGGCAGATATTGGGAGGATCCTGGTCTGAGGCCAGTCCCAGGCAAAAGCATTAGACTTTACCTAAAGCAAAAAAGGGCTGAATCAAGTGGTAGAGCACCTGCCTAGCAAGTGTGAACCCCTGTTATCACCACAAAACAACAACAAAAGCTATAATACGAGCAAGACAAGGGTTTGTGTTTGAGATAATCTCTTGACGTGGCATTACTAATGTTGTCAAGAAAAGTATCCTTCATTTTTCATGGATACAACTGGAGCACGCACCACTATTTTTTCAACATAAACACACATACAAACTGGGATTGAATATGAACTTGTGTCCAATTACATAAGCAAAATCCAGAGAAAACCTCATTTATCAGCCCCTTAATGTAAGAGAACTTAAAAAAGAAAAGCTTCGTAAATTAATTCAATTTATATTTCAAGGGTTGGTGGAGCAGCTCAAGTGTCAGAGTGACTGCTTACCAAGTGTGAGGCCCTGAGTTCAAACCTCACTACTGCAAAAACCAACCAACCAAATAATGTTGTATTTCACGATGACAAACTTTTTTTTCTAGGCGGTACTGGGGTTTGATCTGAGAGCCTAGGCTTGTTAGGCAGGTGCTCTACCACTTGAACTAGAACCCCAGTCCAAGATTACTAATGCTAATTCTAATCTTTTGAGCTACGAAGTGTGACAACACATTTCTACCTCAGGCTGAACAAAGGAGCACTTGTTTTTAATGAGTAAAGTAAGTGTGACACAAAAATCCCAATTTACATAAATCATCCCTGATGTACCCAGTCCTGTAAACCATGCAAGGTTTACATGGGCCCAAGCATGGTCCCTTGCTTACTGGAACAGAAAGACTCTCAAAACACAAATAGATGAGTGCACTTCTGGGTGCCATGTTAGAATGGGGCTCTCCTTTAATGTTTTCATTTCTAAGCTCCTTTTTTCAGCATGTGCAGGGAAAAAGAACAATGGAGGCCACCCCCTCAATTCCATATGGCTTCTTCTGGGTGGGTCACCTCACTCACCGTACCTTCTGTCCTTGCTGTTCATGTACTCCTGGAACCAGGTTTTAAACTCCCCCAGCTGGTGCTGAGCTCGACTGACCACCTGTGATGCGGCAAGCAGGTCCCCACAACGCATGCAGTAGTAAATTAATGCCCAGACAGGATGGCCTTCCACCTCTCCGTCCTAAAAGAGAAATTACAAATACTCAAAATAAGCCAACAAAAGCTAACCAACTGCTTTCTGATGTGCTAGCTAAGTCCCTGTCCTTGTACCAAATAACTTAATTCCTACAACAACCTTGTAAGGTTAAGAACCACTAACAGCCTTCTCCTCCCCATTTCGCAAAGAAACTGAGGTATGGGAAGTTCACTAATTTGTCCAGGTTAAGCTGGAAAGTGAGTGTGGCTCTAGAGTTTTTCCTTCAAAGTGCATATAGCCCACCTGATCTAAAACCGGCCTTTCGTGTTATCCATGAAATCCAGCAGCTGGTCATAACCAAGTGACATTCTTCTGTGGTAACTTTTAGATGTGCATTTCTATGACCCCACAAAGCAAAAGCTAAAGATGAGGCTGACCAATAAGAGGCTATGGTTATCTACCTTGAGTTTATAAAATTAACTACTACTAATAGGTAACTAATCATTCATCCCTCAGTCACTCAAACACTGCCAGGCGCTGCTAGGCACCAAGGATCCGAGGCAGCTCTTCCCTACTCCTCCAGTACTACAGCTGGTCTATCCTAATCTGGTCTTGTTACATATCTGTGCAGCAGACCTGTGCCTATCCTTCTCCCTGTTTCCCCAACTCCTCCAGAAATGGACATCAGATCTCCTTTCTTGGTCCTTTCATCTTTCCCCCAGGACTCCTCCTAAAACCGAAATCACATAGTGTCTCTGCCCACTCAAAAGTCTTTGAGCTGATCAAGTCCAGTTCAAAGTGCTTTGCCTGACTTTTAAGGTCTTCGACAGCTGCCCCTTACTGAACCTCATTGCCCCTCACTGAACCTTACTACATACTAGATACTCTAGGTACTCTGCTACTTCCACACATTTGTTCGTGCTCTCTCCTCCTGGAATAATGTTCCCAAGGCCTCAGTGGGTGTTTCCCTATTCTTCAAGGGCAAGTATGATCCTTTAGGAAGCCAGCCTTCACCCTTGGTACAAAGCTCCAGTTTAGCACCTTGCACACTGCATGAAAATCAACTGTAAAATAATCCCCACAGCTAATTAGTGAGCTGGAAAGAAGGGCCACATGTTAGAAGTCATATCCAACTCCATTCTTACAGATGTTTTGTCACAAACCTCAGACATCACCCCTGACTCTGCCTCTCACACCCAAATGCAAGTTCCTCAGCAAGTCCTCGAGGCCTGAGTTTCAAAACATGTCAGGACCTCCTGCTGTCCCCTTCCCTGCCTCCATCCTGGACTCCTGCACAACTGATCTGCGAAGCACCTCCTGCTCCTTACCCCTCTGGTCTCTTTTCCACAGAGAACTTCCTGTTAACTGAGAACACCTAGGAGCAACTGCTCTGGAGGTGTGACTAACCACACAGAAAAAGTTGCCAGTACCTGAAGTCCAGGTAAGGGAGCTGGAAGTTTAATGTTCAGGAAACTTCGAACCAGTTGGTAAGTCCCAGGCACACCACCCAGCTGGGCCTGATGCAAATTTCCAAAGACAGTCACAAGGGTGTAGTTCTTATAACTAGGAAAATTTAAAAAGAAAAATGGGGGAGGTTGAAAACACACATATCCATGGCATTAGACTGTGAAACTCTGCAGGGCAGGGCCTAGAGGTTAACACTAAAACAGAAGCAGCAGCAGGACATGCTTAATGGAAAAAAAATCTACATTATTTATCATTATAAAGATTTCTTATCACTGTGGATCCTCAAAAGATTTCCTGGAGGAACACAATTGTGGACTTGAAATGCTTTAAGGGATGAAATGTAGAATAATCGCTCTACCTTACAGCCTAATGCTCTAGTGGGTTCTTTTTAAACTTTTTGCTTAAAAAATTCAAACCTATAAAAAGCTGAGGTAACAGTTCAATGAATGCCCATACATCCTTTACCTAGATTCAGCAATTATTAACATTTGTGTGTGTTTCCCCTTTCTATACACATACACATACACACACACACACATCCCCCTGAACCATTTGAAAGTGTTACAGGAATCAGGAGCTACCTCACCTATAAATACTTCATTATGTCACTCTTAAGAACTATATTTTCCTATCTACCATTATGATACCAGGAAATTTAACAATAACAAACTATTAGCATTTAAGATATATCTCATCTTCTCTATAGTTTGTTTTCTTTTCAAATCCAGAATCCAATTCAGGAAATACATGACAACTAATTTCATGCTGCCTTAATTTTGTTTAATCTAGGGTAGTAGAACTATTTTTTCCCCCTTTCATGACACTGGCTTCTTTTTTTTTTTTTTGGTAGGACTGGGGTCTTGAACTTAGGTCTTCACATTTACAAAGCAGGCACTCTACCGCTTGAGCCACACCTCCAGTCCCTTTTGCTCCGGTTATCTGGAGATGGAGTCTCATGAATTGTTTGCTTGGGCTGGCCTTGAATCTCAATTCTCCTTATTTTAGCCTCCCAAGCAGCTAGGATTACAGGTATGAGCCACTGGCACCCAGTTGACACTGGAATTTTTAAGGAACCCAGGCCAGGGCTGGGGATATGGCTCAGTGGTAGAGTACTTGCCTAGAGGCAAGGCCCTTGGCTCAATCCCTGACACTACAAGAAAAAACAAAACAAAAAGAACCTAGGCCAGACATATTGTATAATGTCCCACAAGTTAGACCATTTCCTCATGATTCAACTCAGGCTCAACTTTTTTGTCAATAATCCTAGAGTTTCACTGAATAACTCTTCCCACTGAATCTCACAATGAGACTCTTATTGGTAACCATTAATTTGACTCATTTGGTTACCAGGTGTTGTCCACCAGATCGTTCCATTATAATTTAATATTACTCCACTTGTATACAATAAATAATCTGAGAGGTAATGCTTGAAAAGTCACATAGCTATTCTGTTCACCAACAATCTTTCACCCTATAGTTTTAGTCTTCAGGGATGGTCCTTACTGAACTAATTATTACATTGGTGTTTGCAAAATGATTATTTCTGTCACTCCCTCTTCGTTTATTTGCTAACATGATTCTTAAAATCTTCTGTAATGTTTTTAAATGCCTCCATGCTAATAGTAAATGGTCCAAGTTACAGATATCCAAATATGTGGTTAATATAATAAAGAACTTTTGAGTTTGTTCTTGCCCAAAACAGATTGCTCAAAATGTCAAGTGTCCCATAAGCACAAAGCTACTCAACACCAAGTTAAATACAATGAGAGAGAGAGAGAGAGAGAGAGAGAGAGAGAGAGAGAGAGAGAGAGAGAGAGACTGAGATTCTAAAGTTCAATTACAGAAACATTTAATGGGATTAGGTGAGGTTAAGAGAAATGACACTGATGAGGAATTAAGAATCAAGTTATAATGTAAAACTATATATTGGGGTTAAGGACATGGTTCAAGTGGTAGAGCACCTGCCTAGCAAGCACAAGGCCCTGAGCTCAAGCCCCAATATCCCCCATACCTATGTATTATATACCTTTGGAGCATAACTGTGCAAACAATAAAATCAAACAAATTACTTATACATGCAGGGACTAGGGGTGTGGCTCAAGTGGTAGAGCACCTTCCTAGCAAGTGCAAGGCCCTTAATTCAAACCCCAGGATTCCTGGGAAAAAAAGGGGGGGAGGAGACATAACAAAATAAATAGGAGCCTCCTGATATAAGGAATAGGGGGCCACCCTTCTTTTTGCAGGTCTTTTTTGGCATCTTCCAAAATTCCTATAAGAGGCATGTATTACTTTCATAATGAAAATGAAACACAACTTAAGAAATGTAATGAACTCCACATCGCTGGAAGTGTTTAAAAGCACAGCAACAAGAGAATAAACAGCCCGAAAGCAACCAGAACAGATGTCCACTACGATCTCTTTCAACATGAATTAAGGCAATTCATCTGCTGGCAAGGGCTGAAGCTGAAGTAGCAGCCTAAATTCCTTCTGGACTAAGAAATATATCTTGCTTCTAACTGTGAAATATGGCAGGGAAGAGACAGACCAATCCTGTATTTTCTCAATATTTTTGGCTTTCTATATAAAAATTTATTTTGGGACTGGGTATACTTTGCTATCTGGTATATAACATCACTTGAAATATTACACACACACACACACACACACACACACACATATTGCCAGCAGAATAGAATCAATAAAAATACTTTAACATACTACGTGCTGTTATTCTAAGGTACTCCATTTACCATAAGGTGATAATAAATCCTTAAAAAGGATGCCATGAGAGATTGATATACTAGAGTGATAATGAAAATAAGGTTATAATAATTATGGGTAGGAAACTCCAAAACAGCACCAAGAAGTCCTATTAAGGGAATTAATGGAACAAGAAAAATCTTAAACTAAATGAAATGAATTATAAACTAATAAGTAATAAAATGGGATAGCTTATCAGAGATATAAAACAAAAGATTGAAGTCCAGTATGATTGGTGAAGTCAAGCACCAACATTTAATATTAGGTTTACTGAAGAAAAAGCATCAGTAGTACTCTTATACCCATTACAAAAATTCCTTAAGGTTCTTATATGATCTAAGAAATTCTGGTTCACATTTTGTGTGACCTACAATGAATAAATATTATTATATAACATTAGGTTCTTCATGGTTGAAGAACAATATATCCAAAACTTAATCACACAAAGAAAGTAGCCAAACCCTGATGAATTATGCCTACGCTTGAGGAATAAAAAACCATTTGAATAAAAAAAATAAAAAATATGAAAAAAAAACATTTGGAGTCTCAGTTTTCTCTTAAAAATGGGGGCCAGTGAGTGTATGTTGGATGATGTTCATTTCATGTGGCTACTGTATAATTAATACAGTATTTGTTACAAAAACCTACTCTTTGCTATACTAAGTCTGAATTACCCAGTTACAAGGAA